CTCTCACTGAGGGTAGAAGTGTCAAAGTAAATCCAATTGGGGGTCTATCTACAACAATAGAACTACTAGATGTCTTTACGTAATTGGGCGATAGTACTGGGTGCCTATCTGTGCGATTAACTGAAAAAAATAATTGCTCGAGTGATCAACGCTTGGTTTATTTGTTAATGCTGCAGCTTGGGTTGGGAGATTCAGTTGATAGAAGCACGCCAGCACAAGTTCCCACTGACATGCATCACTTAACAAATATTTCTTGTGGCTGGTGGCATACGTTAGCACTTTCGGAGTCCCCTCCATGAAGCCGGATTTGTTCTTGGCAGTGTTCTGAATACACAATTTTGGTAGGAAACGTGTGACCAGTTCTTCGTATGCAGGGGGCTTAGCCGCTTAGGGGGGGGAAGTCGGCGATAAAATTGCATGGATTGTAGCATATTTAAGCTATTTTTCTGTAGGCCATAAAAGTTGCTGCTAGCAATTGCACGCTGTACAATTTAGTGAGTGAATGTTTCATTGTTGTACATACATGTACCATTGGCTCCATAGTTGTGGCATGTCGTATTTGTATTTAGTGCGACTGTGTTACGAATATAAGATTTGCCAAATTTCTAAGGTTGATAACATAAAATCTCTGGTTTTTAATGTTTTGCTTTACTGAGCTAATCACTATCATGTTCTTCTTATTTTTTCAATCAACTTCTCCTAAAGTCGTGGTATTATTGTGATGGGGTCGTTGTGGAATCCTATGATGGGGGATGAAAAGGGATTTCATCATCTAAGCATTCAGCGGTTACAACAATTTTGGCAGATAGGATATATTTCCACAAAAAGAAAATCCCGTTTAATTCGCTTTTTCATAATTTTGTGCTTTTTGAATGTGATTAGACACTTTCTATGGTAGTGTCACAGAATTATATAAAATTAATTGAAAATTAACAAGAAATACATTTTGTACACAAAAATTATTGGTTACATGAATATTTTTCGTACTACAGATGAGGTCTGAGAAGATATTTGAAATGCTATAATAAGAAACTAAAAGTTATTCATATGGACTACTCTTTTGTAGTAGTAGTTGTCAGTTTTCTTTTGATAGAGCTGATTTTGGTTGTATCTGTGGGGAAACAGAAGTTTGTTTTTTGGTTGTAAGCTCTGTATGAACTCAAATGCACATTCTTATTGGTTGGGAATGTGCATAGTCATGTAACAACCAAGGTTGGATTAATTTAGCTGGCTGGATTACTGTTAAGATTAACAGTAATCCATCCTTTCTCTCAAAAAAAAAAAAAAAACTAAAAGTTATTTAATTGAATCTTACTCGAACATCCATTAAAATAAGCTTTAATAGATAACAAAGCTTAAAAAGCTGAAAAAGGAGATCTTTTATAAGAAAAATGTTTAACTAAAATTTATAGTTTATAAATTGAACTAGTATTAAAGCAAAACAAAGTTACAAGATGATATTTAGTTTTAAAAATTCATGATAAATATCCAAATTAAGGGAATTTCATGTTGTTCTAGTGAAAAGAAGACATGAATTCAAGTCAAGTTCATAACTTGAGGACGATCAGTCATTATCTCCATCTTAAATGAACACTAACATTCACCCAGTGCTAAGCACGAGCTAGCGCTACTCTTTGAATTATTGCCACATCCAAATGCAAATCCTAATTCCAATTCTAGAAATAATTGATGCACAAGTCTCCAAACAAAAGCAACCGGCCGTAAAAATTGTTCTTTCGAGAAACCATGAACCATAAATATATTAAGTGAATAAACTCGTGGTGATCATTGTCTTTAGAAGCGTGCTTATTGTGACAAAACAGTTCAGCTATACTACACCACATAGTAAAATTAGCTTTGATGTTTTATACATAAAATTGCTTAAAAGAGAGAAGTTACTTAAGAAATACACAACAAACTTTGCATTGATCCAACCGACTTAATGAGACATCAACATCCGAAGCTTAGCTACCACTAGATCGAGATCCTACGGTTCACAAAAATGCTAAATAAACAATTTCAAATTTTCGCAAGCTCCAAATTTATCCCTCCATTAACCTACAAATTGGATCCGGCGTGGGCTAGGTTGACCCGCGGGCTGACCCGACCCAACCCACCATTGAGTCACGACCAAGCCTGTTCCATGTAGTGGGCCGGGCGCCGCACTCGCGTCCTGATGTCCCCATGTCACTGGCCGGACCAAAGTAATAGGCTCGGCCTACCATTGAGCCGGCCCACCATGATCCATCCCGACCTAGCCCAGCCCACCATCAACCCGGCTCTATTCATAAGAATGGTCACAAGGATAGCAAGTAAGACATTTTCTTGAAGAATTTGACGAATAGAACTTGGAGGAATCTAGTTTCTTAAACATTAAAGGTTAACATTTATTTTTCTTTTTTCCTATTGTATTTGTAATATAAATTTTAACTAAAGGAAAATTATTAACTTTCCGTGAACGTAGGTCTTTCTTCAAAGTCCTAATAACGTATCCATTTATGTTTGAGATGTTTTTATGCATTTTTTTTATCTTTGTGTGCGTATATATATTATTTTAAATAAAGAGTGAAATAAAAAGTAATTTAAATATAATTTAATAGGTACGAATACATAGTTAATATAGTTTAAAAATTAGAAATGAAAAAAGCAAGGAAAAAGTAAAAAAAAATCGACACCTGAGCCATGAGTCGGGCCCGACCTGGCCCGCCCCGCCTCTAGGTAGGTCGTGAACGGGTAAGGATTCAATCCCAGACCCGAGATTAGAAAAGTAGAACTGACTCACCCTGGCCCGGGTCCGGGTCACGCGCCTGAACCGGCCCATGCCAAGCCACCGCTGCTACAAAAATTTAGATCGAAGCTTCAGATCCAGCGTCGACGGCTTCAGATCTCACATCGCAGGTAGATTTCCCGCCAAATCCCAGCACCGAAACCCTAGATTTCAAGATATTGAGCTCTTTATTTCGATTCTTAGGTCGAAAATTTTCTTTCACTTAAAGAAATCTCTCGATGTCTGAGGAGAGCGGTTCCGTTCTCGGTCGCCTCGGCGACTGGAGGCGAGCATTCCTTTGGTTGGATCTTTGAATCCGAAGTCAAAGACGTCGCCACTGCTTTCGATTGCTCTCGTTCTTGTGGTAAACTTTTGATTATTATTTTTTTCGATTTTTTGCTTTATTATTATTATTATTATTGTTATTATTTTTGGGTTTTATAGGTTGATGAACTTGTTTGTTGGTAAATTTGCAGGGTACGTTTCTTATAATTGGATACTGTTACCATGGATCAGGTTTGGGCCAGTTTTTATTGCTAGTATTTATTTTGTAAATAGTTACTTTCTATTGAGCTGAGTTTTGAGTTTTCTTTGATCAGGTGGTAGTCATCTCGAGTCCGTTAGCAGGACGGAAGGTAAGAATTTTTTTTTATATTTTGATTCATATTAAACCTTTGTTGATTTCAGTGGATGTGGGGTTTGAATATGTTGTATCGATTATGCAATTCAAAGAATCAAAGACACAGTTTCGTTGAATCCACATTTATTTGGAATGAAAACTAGTTAAGGGCTTACAACTGAACCTAAACATAGGAATATTGTACCATTGCAAGCTCAAATAAGTTCAACACGTATGTTATACACATTTATCACTGATAAATTTATGCAGTATTAGCATTAGAATGTGAATCTGGATTTATTTAATTATTTTATTTCAATTTTTTCCATATGAAATATGCTCCCATTTCGAGTACTATAATGGATTGAAATTACTAGTTAGTGTATGACTATGAGTGAATCATGTAACCTGTGCACCTTGATTAGTTTAGTTCAGGTAATGTGTTTTCTACTAAATCTAGTGGTGGGTGTGGGCCTGTTTGATGCTGGTCATGGGCCGGGCCCAACCCGGTCCGTGATATACCCTGAGTCGGGCTGGGTTTCACTCTAAACCCAATGACAAAGAAGTAGGCTTGGCCCACGCCGGACCTGGCTCAACTGTTTTAGGTGATAGTTATACTTTGATGTATTTTGATAGCAACTCAATTGAAAATTACAACCTCCAAATGTTTGAGTTGTGATTTTAGTAGTAGTAGTAGAAATTTTCTAAGCTCTATTCGTATTTTGATGAATATTTATAATCATTTTGATTTACTGAAAACACTCAAATTATGTTAATCTTTTTTTTATTTGAGATAATTCATCACCAATTGTAAATTTATACGATTTAGACTTTTTAGAAAGATATAAATACATGTTTTCTTCTTTAGACTATACATACTATTATAGCAAAAACATGGAAAAGAAAAAACATTGAACAAAAAAAAAGGGGGCTGGCTTGCGACCTGAACCATCGTGGGCCGGATCGGACCCAACCCGGCCCCATGCGGGCTGTGGGCTGTGCTTCATGGGTCAGGCCCGGCCCGGCCCGGCCCATGCTCACCCCTAACTAAATCCTTCCTTATTGAATAGTGTTACTCAACCTATGTTTCTGTAGCAATATGAAGATACACTATGAAAGTTCTCACAAGGTCATCGAGTTGTTTTATCTCTTTAACCTGTTGTTTTGACAATAACAATATGCATTTCTCCACCAGACATTAAATATAACTTCTTGTGATGCTTTGCCAGTCTGCTGCCAGAATCATGTTTAACTTCTTAATAGTTTCATTCTTATATGAAGAATGTCGAATTCTTCTGTATGTATAAATAGAGTAGGATCCTAAAACTTATGTGGCGTTAGGTAAAAGTGAAGCAGGATGACAGTATCTGGTCTTTTCATATGGGTCTTTTTCTCCTATCCAATAAAGTTTGAACATATATTAATCTTCTTAGCTACAGGTGTGTCCTGCACAGCAGAAGTTCAACGAGCAATACCCGTTCTTAAGAAGGCATATGGTGACAGCATGCGCAAAGTTCTGCACGTGGGTCCTGAAACTTGTGCTGTGGTCTCAAATTTGTGGAAAGAAGTTGATACCGAAGCTTGGGGTGTGGAACCATACGATCTGGAGGATGCTGATAGTAGCTGCAAGAGCCTTGTGCGCAAGGGCATTGTTCGTGTAGCTGATATAAAATTCCCCCTACCTTACAGGCCAAAATCATTTTCACTCGTCGTAGTGTCAGATGCACTGGATTATTTATCTCCAAAGTATCTTAACAAGACCCTTCCAGATTTAGCAAGGGTGTCTGCGGATGGTCTTGTTATCTTTACCGGTATTTCCGTAAATCATCTCATTTCTTTGCTCTGCTATAATTCATCTTTGTTCTATTCTAATTTATCTTTTTATTCATCTTCATTCTTTTTTTTCTTTCCGTTTATGCTTTTATGCTACTTGTAGAACGAAAGCAACTACATTAACCATACCTCGTAGCTAAAGACTGTCTGGCTTTCAATAACTTTAGACAATAGTTCTCATCAAGATTTTATCAGATCATACGTATATTGTAAGTGAAGATGCATGTACAACATCATACATGTAGTTATCCATACCTCATGGCTAAGGACTCTATCTGGCTTCCAATAACTTTTGACGATAGATCTCATCAAGATTTTATCAGATCATGCATATTGTTAGTAAGTTGCATTTTACAACATCATACATGTAGTTAGTCCTTTGGTTGTTTTTAATTGGAAAATTCTAGGATGGATATAAAATTGTATTCAGAATGGATGAGTTTTTTTTATCAAGTTTGGTAGAATGGTGACTAACCTCCTTTGCCCTCCTCTTTCCTCATATTGCTTCTTTTTTCCCCCCTCTCTGTTTAAGTTTGAAAAGCAACCAGCAGCATCAAAATTCATGCAAATTTGTCCTTTTCATCTCAAAAAATGTTGTCAGCACGTTTCTTTCGACCTAAATCTTTGAGGTGCACTATTGAGTGCTTGCAAATGCCAGATCCTTTTCCAGGACGAAAGGATATTGTAAACTGATGATATCTAAATTAACATGTCTGGCCTCCAATAAAGAATAAGATAACAGACTATCAATATCTTGATGGTCTAATTTTTTATAGAGAGAACCTAGGAAGAGTTGGTGTAGGCAGGGAGGTCATAATTTTGAGGAAATGTGTTCAACTAATAATACCATATTAGGCAAGAGTTTTTCCCCATTCAAGGGTGAGGATGGAGTCCGGAGTTGTCTCACCTCACTTTTAGAAAGCACATCCTTTCTCTTCTTTGTAACAGAGGAGGGTTGTTTTATGTACTTATAAGTCCTTTGGGATCAGTTATTTCCATACAGTCTAAGTTGCATGGAAACGGGTGCCGTTACGGGTATGGGACACGTGAAATTTTTAAACTGTAGGGTATGGGACACGGCTACACATGCATATTATATATTTCCATACAGTCTAAGTAGCTTGTCTGAAATGTAAGTTCTATAATAGTGAATATGAAGCCATCTATTCTTGCTCTGTTTGTTTAATATCATGGATAATTATAAAAGTAATATTCACCTCTGTTCTCATCTTATGTCAATTTGCTTGTAGGTTATCCAGGTCAACCAAGGGCAAAAATTTCTGAGCTATCAAAATTTGGAAGGCCGGTATGTATTTATACTGAAATGATGCCTGTTTACTGCTGTTTTTATCTTTGTCAGGTGCTTCTGGCTGTATAGCTGATTACATATTACATCTTTGGTTATTGATTTTGAAATCATTAGTAGTACTGTAACGTGACCTACTGGTTGCTGTGCAGACTGACAAGAATTATAGGGTTTCAGGTTTATGACAACAAGTATATGCTTTTATCCAAAAGCTTTGGGGTCTGCCACATCCTTTTTCTCCACTCAGCTATGACCAACCAAATATGCTAGTTCCATTCCTTTTCTTCACCCAATCTATGATCTTTTAGTCTGCATAGTCTTGTTAAAAGTTGGTATGTTTGCCTGATGATTTTAGTATGCAGACTGATTGGAAGAAGACTAGGGATGTCCCTGAGTCCTAAATATCAATGTTCCTCTAGATATCAGGGTCATTAGCATCAGTCTTCAAGGCTAACATGCAGTGTTTACAAAGGCGCGCGCCTCACTGCGTCTCATGCGCCTTGCGATGCATGGCGGTGGCGAAGCGCACTACATCTGATACGGCGGCGCCTTTTGCGCCTCGCATACATCCTGACTTTGCACAGGATGTGCATGTAGTACATACTTTCATATAGTTTTATTTGTTAACATTTCCGTCAAGTCTTTATACTCGATAATCCACATCCCAAAAAGCAAAATAAATCTATTAGGCCTTTTTAGTGACCTTCAATTGAGGACCATAACTATCCTTTTCTTGGATATTAGTCTTGAGTTGACATTTGATTTGAAAATTTATAAATTTTGCTACTATGTTGGGTGTTTGCTGTAGAAATTACGACCTTATATTGTGAATTTGTATAAAGATATTATTTCTCCTGATATATTTTTTATGTGAATTCCTAAACATATTCTTTCGTGCTTGATTATATATCTTGAAAAATTGTGTGCGGTGTGCGACTCGCATCACACGGACGCGCACATCACGTTGCGCCTTGTCCATGTGCGCGTAAAGATGCTTTGCGTCCCGCATTGCGTCTCGCGCATTGACAACACTGCTGACATGACATAATGTTAAGGGAAAATGAGTTCACATAGTATTAGAGCAACCCACTTTACGCAAACTTCTGACCAAGCTCATATGTAATGCATTTGTGTTTTGCTCTTTTGTGATTTCTAGCTCTATAAGATGATATATGCATTCAGAATCCATCTTCATTTAGATGCGAGATATTGGTCATGAAGAAGCAAAGGCATGCCATCAATAATATTCATTATTTTTTAAAACATTTTAATATGACTGTCAAAATATGCATCTCAATGCTTCCTTGCCATGAACTTGTTTGCTGTTGTGTACTATGTACAAATCAAGTTCTTGAGTTATGTTAAGTAGAGTTGTGGTTTGGAATCGCCTAAACTGAACTGAGAGTGAACCTCATGCATTGTTATTCATATTTTCAAAAGTTATGGTGTACTAACACAATGAATTGGGTTATCAATTAAGGTTGCAATTTAATTGATAGAGGTCTTCAAATATAACATCTGGAGTGGTCTGTGCTTCTTCAGATAACTTGACATAACTGTTATCTTGCGCCTCGTTTGGTACGCGGGAATGAACTCAAATGAGAATGGAATAGAAGAAGGAATGGAATGGAATTAATGTGAGAATGGAATAGTCATTCTCATTATCACATTTGGGTGTAATTTATAAAATGAAGTGAGAATGGACGTATTTTAAAATTGTATATTTTATTGATTCCCATTTAAGTGGGAATGCCCATTCCCTATCATTTCATTGAGAATGCTCATTCCCACATAAAGTGGGAATTGATGAGAAGTGTGAATGAGCATTCCAACTTCAAAAAAGAGGGTGTGTTTGGTAGGAAGTAATGAGAAGTGAGAATGACCATTCCATTCCACCCCATTTCTGCGTACCAAACGAGGCCTTAGGGTTCTAGAAAGATTTAATTTCTGCTTTGGGTTTTGATTCTTACACATGAACAACTATGTTTAAATTTTTTCTGTGTATCATTATAATGATGGAGGTGGCGCCACCAGTTGAATAAGTCACAGAAAGTGCTCCTGATAAGCACGACAAGCGGAGTACTTATTGCCAATACATTGTATGAATTATATTCGATAGTGGGTCTAGTTCATTACATTAAGCAAGTATTGTAAATTTGTAATGGACTACCTACAAATAGACAACAACTGTAGGATGTGCACCTCTCTTACTGTAACTTCACAGTACCTGATCGAATTTGTAGGATAGAGAATAAGATGATTTCATCCCTCTTCATGTCACATGCAAAAGTTTCAACAGGCCTAGCAGGGCACTGCTAGGCTAGATCACCATCTTGGATAATATTAAATGTAGTCAGTTATCCAATTGGATAATATTTGTTGTAATTATATCAAACAATTTCTAATTTTAAGTATATATCTATTGCCATGTGAGAAATTAATGTTGCGGAATCTCTTTCGCGTGTACCTTTGCATGTATCATCATATGCTGAATGTTGCAGGTTCTCAGAAATGCATAAGCTATTAACAACTTCTTCTTTGACTATAACTGTAACTTTGTAATTATATGATATCTCATATACTTAGTTTATCACTCTGTTATGAGTATTTTTGGTACTCCTTCACGCCTTGTTGAACTATAGCAATTGAATAAGGTCTCTTCTATGGAAGTAATAGACTGCCTGCCTGCCTGACATTATGGCTTTTTACTCTTGAAGGCCAAACTTCGGAGTGCTTCCTGGTGGGTTAGATATTTTTTTCAGACGGGGTTAGAAGAGAATGAAACAGCCATGAAGAAATTCGAGCAGGCTGCAACCAAGAAGTCATACAAGCCAAGGTGCCAAATTTTCCACCTCAGCTCATACAGTTGAACTTGCTTTACATCCGATTACACTTCCACGCAAAGCAAATTCCTTCAGCAACCATCTGAAGTGTATCCATTTTGGAGGTTTGCATCCAACCTTGTTATATGCTCCAATTGAAGATATGTTGATAGTTATTAATTCAATTACTCTGGAGTAGAGAAATTGATTTGTTTCATTGTAAGGATATAGTCTTTAGATGGCTAATATACATACTTTTTAGATGCTTTGTTACATGATTGTGCTAACATCGTTGAGCTATTACCAGCGCTCAGATGCCTTTTGTTACGACTACTGATGGGATAACATCATAATAACTGGTGGTGAATGTCTCAGGTTTCTGTAGTTTATCACTTCCATACATTGTTGTCTTGTCATGCACGTTAATTGGAATTGGGTGGTGCTACAGGGACCCCAAAACATGGGACCCTACATGGGACAGGTGAGGTGTCGGCTCCCTGTCCCATGATGCACTGTTCATGAACAGTGCATCATGGGACAAGGAGCCGACACCTCACATGGCCCGACACCTCACATGTTCCCATGTAGGGTCCCATGTTTTTGGGTCCCTAAGGCATTTTTCATTAGAATTATACCATTAATCCCCTTTATAATTAAGGAATATCCTAGTCTGATCTGTAATTAGAGATTACACCGTGCTTCACATCAAGTTCGACAATTTGTAGTTCAGACTCTTGGTGAACAATTGAATTTTAATTTGATCAGGGTTTGTTAGTGCCTGTAAGAAAACAATTAGCTTGTTTTTTTGTTTTTTTTATAACTTCATTTGTTAGTGTCTAATCAGTCACCTGTCCAACCATTTCTTATCGTCCAGAGATCCTCTTATACACAACCTGAAAACTACCTGGAAACATCCAAATCTTAGTACGATCCATTTCTGAAGTAAGTTTAAATCATGCTGGCCCTGATGAATTGTCGGTCTCTTGTTTCTATATACAGAAATTCCGTTGTAGATATCCATAATAAACATCGCATTCTGCATATTTTATCATTGTTAATCACTCTTTGCAGGTGTTAGCCCTATATAGGTTGATTATATTCCAATGACCGTGATCAAATTTGATTTTATTGGATCCCATCAATTGCACATTGCTTCACTTAATCTCAAGACCATAACAACCACAATGAAAAGGGCTGGATTTGACCTTAACCATCAGCCCAATGTCTTTGGACAATCCTTCTTGAGCAATCGTAAGTAAATAATTGAGTGCACATAATAAGTATCTTATGATTGAGTTATCGCGATATATAAGGATTTGATTTGAAGCACCACTTGTCTTGTAATTGTTCGAATTGGTATTTTTGTGATTGCCAGTTCCGGATATGAAAACGTGAACAGCAATTTGCGGCTG